ATGAATGCTACAAAATTTTTGTAAATAAATATCAAGAATTATCTGTTATATACCTAAAAAAGTGCATAAACACATAGCTTTAAAACCATATATTGACAAACAAATTAAGACTGAAATCAGACATAAAACAACCTTAAGGAACAAATTAATATCAAATAAATCCAAATCACCCATTTTGGTTCAGCAATACAAAATACAAAGTAAATTAGTTAAAAACATGGTGAGGTTAAAACGTATTGAATATGAAAAAAAAATCAGTGAAACATCAAAAAGAAATCCCAAGTTATTTTATAGTTATGTAAATTCTAACAAAAAAGTTAAAGGAGGAATAGCTTCAATGTCTAATGAATATAATAACATTGTAACAAATAGAGAATCTATAGCAAATATTTTAAACAATAGTTTCAATTCAGTTTGTGTTAACGAAGATAAACATAACATACCAAATATACCGCAGAAGACTGAAATTATTCTAGAAGTAGATATAAATAATAAAATAACTTGCCATACTATTGAAAAAAAATTAAAAAAATTAGATGTTTACAAAGCTATCGGAGTAGATGGGATAAGCCCATATGTTTTAAATAAATGTCATAGTACTCTCTGTGAATTTTAATATATATAAAATCGTTGACTGAGAAAAAATTACCTGAACTCTGGAAATTAGCAAATATAACACCAATTTTTAAAAAAGGTAATACGAACATTGCATCTAATTACAGGACAATCTCATTGACTTCAATCTCATTGCAATTACAATTATACATTGTGTAACACAAAAGCTGAACGTGATTTGGGTATAATGGTTCAATCCGATTTAAAATGGCACTCACAAGTTGATTCAGCAACCAGCAAAGCAAACAGAATGTTAGGTACCATAAAGAGAAGCTTTAAATATTTAGATGTAAACATGGTAAAAATGCTCTATACAACATTCATACGTCCACATCTTGAGTTTGCGGTCCAGGCATGGTCTCCATTTTTAAAACAAGACATAGACAAGATTGAGAAAATCCAAAAAAGAGCAACCAAACTAGCACCTACAATTAGGAAATTATCATATGAGGCTAGGTTGAATATTATGCAATTAACGTCACTGGAAGAACGTAGACTATGTGGAGATCTGATTCAACAATATAAAATTCAGCATGGCCACGATAAAATAAATTGGGTTGCTAACGATTGTGGAAATGCATTGGAGGAGGGTCCATGTCTGCGACAACACAAATTCAAAATGAGGAGGCCTTTTAGCAGAAATACCTTCAGGTATCATTTTTTCCAAAATCGAGTTGTAAATGCGTGGAACAGCTTACCATCTGAAATAATAGAAGCTACTTCAATAAATAACTTCAAAAACAAACTAGACAGAGCTGAATTTTGCAGAAACTATTTGTTAAAACACAAACAAAAGACAAAATGAGCTGTTACAGTGCAATATCTTATGTTATTGCACTTCGCAACTGTTTAAAACAGTTGTTACAGTTATACCTTATTATTTATATTATTTATATTATTTATATATATATATATATATATATATATATATATATATATATATATATATATATATATATATTTTCTTATATGTTAGTGTATTCCACAAATAGAGTGCTTAATGTTCTTGAAGAACAGGGCAATAATAATTTAGTTAAAACACTTATCTAATTTTTAGTACTCTTCAACCTAATGTTTCTCTATCAGTAGGTTCATCATGAAGAATGTCTAAACATAAAAAGTTTTGAATTATAGAAAAATTATTTCACAGTAAGTTGGATATTGTTATAATTAATTATGTAATAACTGCAGTTATTTTGCAAAATATTTTAACAGAAATACTATTAAAGTAAGCTATGGCTGTACAAAAAATATTGAAAAAATTATAAAAGGCCATAATTTTGCATTGATTAATAAAAATGAATTTCTTAAAGAAAAAAAAAAAAGAAAATTGTAACTGCAACAAAAAATTGACTGCCCTATGAATGACAAAGACTTATCAAAAAATATTATTTACAAATGCATGGTTTCCTCACAAAACAACCCTGATAAAAAATATATTGGCTTAACCGTGGGCAAATAGAAAAAAATGTTATGCCAACCACAAACAATCTTTTAATCATAAAAAATACCCAAAAGAGACTATGCTGTCAAAATATATTCGGCAACTAAAAGAAAAAAATATTAATTTTAAAACTTGTCTATTCTAAAAATGATGCTTCTAACAACATTTCCAAAAAATATACACTATGTTTGCAAGAAAAATTTGAAATTATTACTCATTTAAATCAAGAAAATTTACAGAATAAAAAATCTGAATTAATTTCTAAATGCAGACGTCAAAACAAGTTCCTTTTAAGAAATTGAAAAAACAAATTCTTTTTATGATTTTTGAATTATCTAATGGAGTTAACGCAACTTCCTGGTTGCAAAATAACTACAGTTATTACATAATTAATTATAACAATTCCCAACTTCTTGTGAAATAATTTTTCTATAATTTGAAATTTTTGATGTTTAGACATTCTTCCTGATGAACCAACTGCACTAAAAATTAAATAAGTCTTACATACATATACAGGCCTCAACGAGAAGCGAGACCTTTAGCTCTCGTTTCTCTTGCCCACACTCCCCTAAAACGTGTATATATATATATATATATATATATATATATATATATATATATATATATATATATATATATATATATATATATATATAATAGAAAAAATAGATTTTAAATTTACCTATTTAAAGTTCTTAAACAACATCCCGTAAGTCGCAAAAATGGCATTATTAAAAAAATAATGAAAAAAAAATAATGAAAAAAAAAAAGATCAAAAGTTTTTCCTTGCAGAGCATTAAGTTAAATAAAAAATAAAAATTACTTATCAAGTTTAATAAAAATCCACAAGTTAAAAAGCTTTAGATCTCCTACTTCTGTTTTTAAATAAATTTAGTGTTGCATAATTATGAACGCTCCCTATAGGGTCCCTTTGAGGATCCCTAAAAGATTTTTAAGGATTACTCTTTGTTCAACAATGGATCATAAATGATAAATAGGGCTAAACTTTTGGAACACATCTTTTGCAATTATTATTTTATTTTATATACTTTAATTACAATTTATATATATATAGTTAGTTTCTTATCTATTTCAGCTGTGACAGATATTTGAAATTTATTTGGCGTAGACTTATGATGTAGATCAAATCTCTGCTTAACCGGGCACATTATCCTCTTCTTGAGACGATTTGTAAAGACTGGTAGAGTAACCATATGTTTTATATATTAAAATATATTTTTATCAAAACTACAAAATTTACTTCTTTAAATAAGTATGAATGATATAAAGTTAGAGGGGCATGTGTTAGAATAATATGATGGAATATTATGACATGTGTTGGAATAATATAGTATAAACTTTATCAATTTAAACTATTCTTTAAACATATATAACCTAAAATTAGTTTATGAATTTAATTTATTGTGTAATTTTTACTTTTTAGCAATGCTAAAAAAACCTCCTTTTTTAAACACCATACCCAGTCTTATCTGTTTGAAATTTAATACCAGCACACAAAAAAGCGCTAGCAGGATAGTCATTTTTAAGTTAGTCTGCACAATTTAAAAAACTCATTTTTTTCTGCTATTTAAATTAAAATAAAAATAACAAAAAGAATGCTTTGAATAAGTACTAGATAAAATAATTAAAAAAAAAACTGGTAAAGAAAGCCATTTTTCATAAAACTTGCATAAATGAACAAAAAAGTTTTGTTACAATTTAAAATAAAATGCTTTTAGTTTTTTGGCAAGCACTTTTTTATGCGCTCGCCAAAGTTTTTGTGGCCGTGTGGGCGAGTGCAAAAAGAGTTAAGCGCGAAAGCGCCAGCTAAATGTAGAAGACTGCATACCACCTTTTTTCCCACCCTTATAGATAAAAACAAACTGCTTGCTATTTCTAGTTCACTGATTATATAGTGTGCACATTATCTTATGCCAAAGGTTTTAGCCACCTGAAAAACTTTATTTTAAGGGTTCAACCTGTCTTATGAGTTCTTAAATGCTCCTACAAAATGTCTCTTGATACCCGAAGGTTCTTAATAAGTCAGCGCCTTTGGTCATGTACTGATCCTAACGTTTGCTCAATATTCCAGGAACAATATTAAAAAAATAGACTTTTATAAAGAGCTCTTTAACTTATTAATAATTTGTTATTAAATATAGCCAATTCCAAATGTTTTACTTGATTTATGAAGAGTAATCCATGTAAACCATCATTAAATATGTGTATTTTGTTTAAAAACAACAAGTTTTTATGTTAAACCTCAAAAAAAAATTTTGAAATTTTGAAAAAATATTTTTTTTCAAAAAACAAAGGATTATTTTTTAGATGAAAGTTTTTTTTCCTGAAATTTGACTTAAAATAAACAAATAATCAAGGTTTTTACAAGCGATCAGTATTGCAACCTTTATTTATTGGTAATGCAACTTCTATGACATATCTGTTACAAGTAAAATAGTATCTTTTATTAATTTTGGAACCAAAGATAATGGAGTCCATCACTCACTTTCATAATCTTACTACCATTAACAAAATAAAAATAATTTTTTTAAGATTTATCATGAAATCAAGTAAGCTTTAACTCAAGTATAATTAGTAACAATTTATACTCAGTTTAATAAAAAAAATTCATGATAAATTCATATTTTAGGGTTATATGAAAAAAATGATCACTATATTTTTAGGGGTGATAATAATGTTTAAATTTATATCAGAATAACAATTCATTCATGTTTTAAAAAAACTATAACAAAATACCAAAACCTCGGTAATGCTACGTGTCGTTAAATTGGAATAAAAGCGCAAAGTTGCATAATCAAATAAATTTCAACATACTGATGATGATGATGATGATGATGATGATGATGATGATAATAATGAGAATGACAACAGCAGTTATGATGATGCTGATGAAGTAATAAAAAGTTAAAAAAAATATTACCAGCTGCAATTGCTCCAGCTATAGGTTTTAAACTTAGTAACAAAGGATAATTCCATGCAGAAAGAATTAAAACAATTCCATAAGGTTCATTATGAATTTCTAATGTATTTTGTATATTTTGCCAGTCAGATTTGATTCTTTCAGGTTTCATAAACTTATCCAGCTGAACCATTACTAAATATAAACATTGCTAAAAAAATAAAAACTCATACATAATATATATATATATATATATATATATATATATATATATATATATATATATATATATATATATATATATATATATATATATATATATATATATATATATATATGTATATATATAATTTTATTTATAGAGTGTTTTATTTAAATAAAACACCCTATAAATAAAATTTTGGACAAATTTTAATTGCATTTATTATGTAATTTATTTCATGCACATAAAAAATATTTATACTTATTTGAAAGAGGATTTTATAATCTATTTAAATTTAATTTAATTAAGTTAAAAATACTATTTAAATATTGAAAATAAAATGGTCAAAATAAAGGACCTCAAAAAAATGATGGAAATTTTTTTCCAAAAAAATTGAGAAAAAGGTAAAGCATTTGTTTCTAAAAAGTTTATCAAATGGGGTTTACCCAGATAATAAATTTTATCACTTTTCTTTTTAGATATCCATTCTCCAATTTTACAATAAATCGTAAAATTGGAGAATGGATCTCTAAAAAGTAAAGTTGGAAGTGGTCGAATCGCTAAGGTAGCTACTAAAGAAAATATTCCAAAGATAGCTGCATTTTTTGAAAATAAGTCAGGGTGCTCCCAAAAGAAATAGCTCAAGTTTTTAACTGTAGTCAAACTCAAATTTCCTAAGTATTAAAAACAATGACTAACATTCGAACTTTCAAAAAAACAAATCGCCCAGATCATAGCAATCAGCAGAAAAAAGCTATGCGTCCTAAATGCCGTAAATTGTACGAAAATTATAAAAACTTGGATTTTGTTATGGATGATGAAAGCTATTTTACCTTAAACAATAGCACATTAGCTGGTAATGATAGGTTTTATGCCCCTGCTCCTTCTCAATGTTCTGACAAAGTAAGACGCAATTTGCATAAAAAGTACGAGGACAAACTCTTAGTTTCTTGTTGCATCAGCCCCCGTAGAATAAGCCCTCTTTATATTCATCACAGTAAGCAGGCAATCAACCAGTACACTTGTTAAGAGATACTAGAAAAAACTTTACTTCCTCTAGTATCAGAATATTATAAAAAAGACAATGAGTTTATCTTTTGGCCTGATCTTGCTCGATCACATTACGCAAAGTTGGTCATCAACTTTTTAACATTGAAAAAAATCAAAGTTGTACCCAAAGATATAAACCCAGGTAACATTCCAGAAGCAAAACCAATTGAAAACTTTAGGGGTGATTTAAAACGGCTAGTTTACAAGAATAATTGGAGAGCTGAGAATTTGTAAGAGTTTGAAGCAAGAATTAGATATTGCTATTCAAAGATGAATAAAGAAATTTTCCATACTCAAATAAAACATCTTTCAAAAAACTTTATAATATTGTTAAATATGGTATTTGAAATAATTATTTTAATATATTTATAAACTACATATACTAACATATTAACAGTTGAAATATTAAATAATAAAACTTATTAGTTCTTAAAATATTAATTTTTAAATTTTGTTCAAAATTTTTTTTATGAGGCGTTACTTTTTGAAATGAGATATCAGAGTTTTACTTACTGCTTAGAGAGGAATTGAAAACAAAGTCTACCTGAATTATATGTTATCTTCCTATTTAATAGGTTTACAAAAAAATTAATATAAAATCTCATTAGATTAGTTTATACTATACTTTCCTTTTAACCACCCTTAGTGACAATAACTGCCATGCATATTCTTGGCATTCTACTTAACAATTTATCCAAATTTCGATGATTTTAATGCATAAGATGTGGAAAAACTAATAAGTTTTTTCCACATCTTATGCATCATTACACATTTGTTTTTGACATCACTTCCCAAAAAAAAGTCAATAAAAGAGAGATCTTGTGATTTGGGAGACTAAAGCATTCTATTTAGTATTTGATCATTTTCGAACTCAGTCAAATAACTTATACAATTTTTTTTGTAAAATATGTTTTGGATTTAAGCCTTAAGTAATTTTCTTCTGAAAAATTAAATGGCCTATAAACCATCTTTCCAAAGATGTGGCACGATTTTTTAAGTGTACAAGTTAACTACTTTTGTCATTACTTCCTCTATTTTTAAAAAGTCACCTGTGGCATTCTAACCAAAACAGCCCCACACCTTAAAACTTCATCCTCCATGTTTCACGGTTTACTTCATATTATTTATTCAACAAATTTTTTTTTTTTAGACAAACAGTCTTATTTTGAAACCAAAGATTTAAAACTACAACACGTCGGTCCACGTTTACAGTCATTGATGGTCCTTTTTTTATGCAGTTTTGCACACTTTTGCGTTTTTACTATTGTCACGACTTTAATCAAAATACTTTTAAATTATAATAATAATACAATAATAGTACAATATTATACAATACTAATAGTACAAAAATAAAAATAAAAAATAGTTAAATAAAAATTACCATTTAAAAAAAAAACTAAATGTCATTCAAATAATTATGAATGGTAGTGTATATAAATTAACTCTATCAACTTTGAAAAATTCTCTATGAAAATGTTCTCACACACTATAAAAGTAAGCTATTCAAGTATCCATATAAATCAGTTTCCTTTTTGCAATATATTCTAAATATTTTGCAAAAATATATTTTAAAAAATATTTTAAGTTAGATACATCTTGATTGAGTAAATAGTGTTTTGCGGTTATCGACTTCATAACACTCTTAGACTTATATCAAAAAGTTTATTAGTTAAAGTTTAAACTAAAAGCAATCCTGTCAATAATATAATTCCAAACCATTTAAACTTAAACAAATAGTTACAGCACTTAAGGTTAATATTTATTAAAAATTTCATTTAGCTGATTTTTTTATGGCTGATTCTGGGTACCTGGGAAAACAGCCAACACCTGTAAATAAATTACTGGGTCCCCGGGACCCGGTAATTTGCTTACAGGTGCTAATAATACTTGTGGTCATTAAGGTGCTTCCAGAAGTCTTTACGGATTTAACACAGATCACTGCAGAATATAATATATATGTGTATATATATATATATATATATATATATACACATATACATATATATATATATATATATATATATATATACATATATATATATACATACATATATATATATATATATATATATATATATATATATATATATATATATATATACATATATATATATATATATATATATATATATATATATATATATATATATATACATGTATATATATATATATATACATATATATATATATATATATATATATATATATATATATATATATATATATATATATATATATATATATATACATATATATATATATATATATATATATATATATATATATATATATATATATATATATATATATATATATATATATATATATATATATATATATATATGTATATATATATATATATATATATATATATATATATATATATATATATATATATATATATATTTATCCTATTTTAGTTTATCTATAATAATTTATAACAATAATTGTTTATTTTATGCATTTAATTGCTTTGTGATAAAATGTTAAATGACAAATAATTTAAATATACTTTCTGCAAGTTCATTCTTTACACTAAGGATCTCAGTTATCTTTGTTATTGGATTGGACTAAAACAAAGAAAATGTACAAAATTTTAGCAAACAACAATACTTGGGTATATGAATAATATATATTATATTAATTTAATATTATATAATAACTAATGCTAACTTAATTGCTAACTATATAAAACAGTACAAATATAGATAAAAAACCAATTAAAACACTTGCAATAATTTTTACTGTTATTCAATCTGCTTGTGTAATTTTTTGACTGGTAATACTGGGATATCTAGTAAAACTAGATTTATAAACAATGTTTTTATAAAAAGGTTTAGACTGATTCATAATAAATATTAATTTTGTAAGATAGTTTGATTTTTAATTAAAAATACTTTATAAAGATATGTCATGAATATTTATTTACTTAAAAAACAATTGATTTATTTTGGCAATACTAAAACTTAACAAATAATGCTTACATTATTCTATAAAAATAGTTTTTAATATTTTATGCTATTTGTTATTATTAATATTTTATGCTAATAAATGAAGTTGTTTGTAATTGACAAAGTAAACAAGTTTTTTCATTTAAAAAAATGTATTTTATGAATAATTTTTTGTGAGAGTTTTGTTGCTTACGGATTGCTTTTTATATACATGTTTCAGTTCTTAACAGTTCCAAAGGTATTCCATACAAGGCCAGATTTGAGATTTATAGAGATAAAGAATAGAATCCAGAGTAAGAATGTGTCAAGCTCGATAAAGAGATGCAACCTTAGCAGATGCTAATTTTGCAATTGATTTGATATACAAATAAGATTGAAAGTAAGTTTCCAAATTGAAAGATACCAAATATTGATATACAAATAAGATCGAAAGTAAGTTTCCAAATCAAAAGATACTAAAGGTATTCTATACAAGGCCAGATTTGAGATTTATAGAGATAAAGAATAGAATCCAGAGTAAGAATGTGTCGAGCTCGATAAATTATTCATAAATTTCCAGATCGAAAGTAAGAATTAATCCTAGAAGATGAAGGGTAGATGACTCATCAAGTACATTACCATTAAGAAACATAGGAAGATTTAAATTATTGCAATAACGATTGTCTGAAAAGAATTGAGTTTTATTTGAATTAAAGTTCACCAACCACTGTGAGCCCTGCGCTGTAGCAGAAGTGAGATCCTTTTCAAGCTCAAATGCCCCCTCCAAGCAATCAGAGAGTGTTGGCTTCTTATCATGACAAGAATAAATGGTAGTATCATCAGCAAACTATGCCACCTTAGATATAAGAATATCTGGAAGATTTTGAATGTAAATTAAAAACAGTATAGGGCCAAGGATTAAACCTTGAAGAGACAGGATATGAAGAAGAGTGCTGTCCATCAAGGATAATTTTTATACTAAGATTGGGAAGGAAGATTCAATAATCTTAAAGATGTTACATCGTAAGAAGAAAGCTTATGGAGAAAGCCAGCATGCAAAACTTTATCAAAAGCTTTAGAAATGTCAAGAGCAATAGCCTTAACCTCTCCGCCTTTATCTAATGCACAATAAAACCTATAGGTTATTACTGTTAGCAAATCAGCTGTAGAACAAGAAGATTGAAACCCATATTGATTATCAGAAGTAGGTTATTAGATTTAAGATGAGAGATTAAGTGTTTGTTAATTAAAGATTCAAAAAACTTGCTTATGATAGGAAGAAGACTAATAAGACAGTAAATAGATAAATCAGATCGCTCTCCAGAATTTTTTGAAAATAGGGATAACAGATGCTGCTTTCCAGCAGGCTGGAAAACAAGGCTCTGATAAGCACTTGTTAAATAGTTTTGAAAGTATAGACAACAGCTCCGGAAAACGCTTTTGCAAGGCTATAACAGGTATGTTGTCTGGACTACAAGCTGTAGTAGAGTCTAAGCAGAAAAGTTTGTAAATGAGCTACAAACTTGTAGCTTATTTACAAATTTTTATTTTGAAATGAATAATATTTAAAGAATTTTAATCAAAATTCTTGAGAAAAAATAAATAAATGTATAAATGGTAATAGGTAAATTGACTTTAGAGAAAATAATAAATAAATGTTAAGGTAAATAGGTACTATTAATTGACTTTAGAGAAAATATACCATATGATGACAGTCATATGGTATATTTTCTTTAATGTTGTTTGTCATTTATATAGTCTTAATAGTTCAAACAACTTATCATACTACCTTCTAGCATATTTTTGAGCAATATTTTACCATCTTTTTATGTTTTTGTAACTGTTTTTTTAAATCATGATTTTATGTTAGTAATTGACATTTCCTTTGCTTTAGTAGTTACTATATGTTCAATGAGAGGAAAATGAACGTTTTTATTTATTAAAATGCATATAACAAAGCATATGCATATTTTTAAAGTAATGTAACACAAATAAAACATTTTATTACAAATGAAATGACGAACATGCATTTATTTCAGATATAAGGTATGACTCATGCCAAGAATACAAGTTTTTATAGTGGATTTTCCTTATTATTTGTTTCATATATGTACAAGCTTATCTTACTTACCTGGCTACTGATAAGAAGAAATGCCACCCTTAACCATTGTTGCTATCTTCAGCCATCAGACACAATTTGCAATTTTCCCTGGAAAACACCTTCCTTCATACTCTACAATTACGAAGTCCTCCTTTTCCAGAGTAACTATCTTCATCTGAAGAATCTTTATACAAGTCAGAATCTTCACAATTTGCTAAACTCAGGAACAGAAATTGATTATTCTGACTTATCATATCATTTTTGTTTCTTGATTTTTTGCTTCCTTTCTGTTTTTTTTTTTTTTTTTTTCCTCTTATTCTCTTTTATTTTCTCTGCTCTCTTGTTTAAAAAATATAAAAAAAGATAATAAATCATATAAACATGAAATATTCATATTATGACAAGTTAAGATAAACAAAGGAATTACTGAGTTTTTGTTCATCTTGGTCAATAACTAAATTTTTTTAATTAAGGTTTGTTTTAACATCTTTCCTTTTAAATGGTTAACAACTGACACATGGTCAATTACTTTGTCATTAACATTATAATTGAAATAAATAATTACATAATATTTGAAATAAATACAAAATTATTAATTATGGACAAAATAAGCCATTTCTACTAATTTTCACTTTTAGTTATAAGCCAGTCTTACATGGCAAAAGTAAAAAATACTCTTAAACTACAAAATATTTATTGGCTATGATACATGCTGAGTAAAAAAAAAACAGTATATTGCAAACTGTTTATTATTTTTATCATGTCCACCTTTTTCTATGCTTTGCTTATTTTAAGTTTATACAAGTTTTTTTTGGTGAAATAGATTTATTTATAAAGGTGATTTTAATTTAGCAGAGATTTTTTCAGGAGATTTTATTCATTAAAAGGTTGAGATATGTGTTGGCTTAAAATGTTTACAAAGAGCATGTTATTTAATTAATTTTAATGAGGTTTTGTCAACTCATTGTTTACATATGAAATGATAAAGCTATACATTAGGTATGTGGATTTTCCCCTTCTTTTGAAATTGTAAAAAAATTAGTTTTTTTTTTTGTGGTAAACTGTATTTAAAACTTGGAAAAAAAAACTTTGAAAAAAAAATTCTTTAATTTGGTATTGGTAATTGAAAAATTGTTTTGCCCCTAATATTAAAAACCAAATCCTTAAAACTTAAAAATTAAATTAAATCCTTTAATATACAACAGAAGTCAAAAATATCAATTCAAAATATTTGTTCAGTTGGACACCATAGCTGTTACCTTTTAAATAACATTACCTTTCGAAGATCTTTCCAAAGTGCATCACAAATTGCTTCATTGTTCTCATCTAATAACTTATTAAGTTGAATTAGCTGATGACGTCTAGCTTCATAGCTTTTTAATTTACCATTCATAAAACTTTTTCGAAGGCCAGAAATAATCTGTAATAGATAATATCTTCATTATAACACTTCATAATAACATTTTCTCTGACTTTCATTTTTACACTAATAATATTCAAATATTACTTAATCTATAAGATATTAAATACTTAGTATATAAGATGTTATACAATCTTAGTATAAAAATAGCCTTTGGTCTCTGAAAGATGATTACTATACTTTTGAGTTAAGAGTTAAGAACTAAAAAAAACATTAAAAAAAACAAAACAATCATTTCAAAAAATTAATGTCAAAATTATAACAGTAAAATCTATAATTATCTGATATCAAAACTATGGACAAGTAATACAAACTGAAAAATATGTAAATAAACTGAACACTAAACTGAATTAGTTTATTGTTCAACAATATAGTCAACAATCATCAGTTATATTGATCATCAAGTGATTTTGATTAGAATGTACTTGCTACCAAAATCACAAAAACAGTTTAGCTATTCAACAGCAAAAAAAAAAAAAAAATAGACATATTTTTTGATACCTATAAATCCATAGTTTACTAATTCATTTTTTATAAATAAAAAATCTGCAATTTTCAAATTTTTTAACGTATACAGAAATCCAAAAAGATCTGAGTATGCTTTAAAGCTTATATGTTACATAAAACTTACTTATTATATATTACATTAAAGCTTATATATTATATATTACATAAAACTTACTTATTATATATTACATTAAAGCTTATATATTATATATTACATAAAACTTACTTATTATATATTACATTAAAGCTTTTATATTATATATTACATAAAACTTACTTATTATATATTACATTAAAGCTTATATATTATATATTACATAAAGCTTACTTATTATATATTACATAAAACAAAACTTACTTATACATAAATATATATATATATATATATATATATATATATATATATATATATATATATATATATATATATATATATATATATATATATATATATATATATATAATATATATATGTATATATATATATATATATATATATATATATATATATATATATATATATATATATATATATATATATATACATATATATATATATAAAATAGTGTTCAAAAGTTTAGCACGCAGCAGAATTAAATTTACTTTTTTCCATACATGTATCCATTATTTTTTTCCATTATTTTTTCAGTTAGTAAAATTTTGAAAATAAGTTTTCTTCTATTTATCAATTAAATAAACATTTCCAGATACAATAAGACAGAAAATTAAAAAAAGTTTTGTTAGGCACATTATTTTTTTTAAGTACATACATTAAGCGGTATTTTAACCTTTAAAAAAAAAAGACAAACAGTTAATAGAAGACTAATAGACCATAAGCTGTGGTGCTATATTGCTGCCAGAAAACCATTATTAAAACCAAAAGACCGTTTAAAATGAAATAAATTTTGCAAAATGATTTTAAAAATAATTAATTATAAATTAAGAAAAATTGTTTTTAGTAATGAATCTAACTACACTGTCCTAAATTGTAAAAAAAAAGTAATTGTCCGAAAGCACCACAATGAAAAGTATAATAGTCACTGTATTGTACCTATACTACAAGGTGGAGGTGGTGTAGTTAGTATTTGGGGCTATATTACATGATGGCCCAGGTCTACACATGCTATATAACGATCGGATGGACCAACATAAATACATTGACATCCTTGAAAACTATTTAATGCCTACCAAGGACATTTTTTTGGTAATGAGTTAGAGTGGATGTTTCAATGAGACAATTCTCCATGCCATGAAACAAAGTCTTTAACAGAATCTTTTGACCAAAACAATATCAAGGTACTTCAGTGGCCAGCTAGATCACCTGATCTGAATTCAATTGAAAATGTTTGGACTGTAATGGACCAAAAACTTACCAAAGAACCAATAACTTCAGCTAAAAATCTAAGAGAAAATTTAAAAAAGTTGTTTAATGGTTTGAAAGTTAAATATTGTCGTAAACTTTTCAATTCTATAAGAAGAAGATGTTCATTATGCATAAAAATAGGTGTTCACATTCCTTATTAAGGTTTGACCTAAAAACAACTTATAAGCAGCTTTTTTTTCTTATTTTGTATATGATTAATTTCTTCCAAAAAATTTATTATATATTTTTCATCGTTTTTTTTTTCCTATTAATATGTACATATATATATATATATATATATATATATATATATATATATATATATATATATATAATATATATATATATATATATATATATATATATGTTCTTATTTAAAGCTTATTTATGATATACTATAATTAATATATGCATGCATATTATATAAAACTTTACTTGCTTAAGTAATATAATAATATAAAATAAGTATATAAATACTTATTTTATATAAAAACCGCTTGGTTGTTTGTTTTTTAGGCTGTTATTTCAATCATTTTAGATTTTAAGGGAATGCAAAGCAAAAATTTTATCATCTTATTTTATCCTTTTTATCATCATTCCTTTATAAAAATCAAAATTTAATCTCAAACTAACAGCATTGCAGGTTGTATATAAATAACACATTTATATACAATTTATAACAATATATAAATTTAAGTTTCATTATTTTGTTGCAATAAATTTTAAACCAAGTATTTATGTTTGCTCTGTAGTCAAAAAGCCAAAAGATATACAGAACATCAAAGCAAAAATGTTCTTGGCAAAAAATGTTAGGCCTATGCTGTAACTTTTTATTTGGCTTAAGTGGCTCTTATTGTGAAAAAAATAAATTTTTTTGTTTGCCAAATAAAGTTACCAAGGGGGAAATGGTAAAATTTTATCAAAAAAGCATGAAAAAAAATGTATACTATTAACAGAGTTGATCATTATTCTGATGACCATTCTATTTCTATTTGCAGCAGCCATTTTATTTCAGATAAAAATTACTAGTCCATTGTTTAAATAGAAATACTACAACTAAATGAAATTTCAGTTGAATTGAAAAATAAAAGTTCAGCAATTAGAGAATACTACTTACAACACAAAAATCATTTACTGTTAACAAAACTTTTATTAACACTTTTATTGTAGTTAAAATGTCAATAATTTAGATATTTTCTGAGATACAATTAAAATTATTTGAATATAAATTTTCAAATTGATACTTCTAAAGTTGATAAACTCAGAAAGTGTTAAACTGTATCAATCTATTAAAAAGAGTAGTATTTTTATAACAACTATGTTTTTATGCTTTAAAAAAGACTTTGAAACTAAAGTGGATGTAACAGTTGGTTGCTTTGAAGTATTCATAAATAAACTTTATCCTTTTGCAATACTAATAAATATGATATTATTCTTTTTCAAAAAACGAATTATTTGATGCCTAAATATATGTCACAATAGTTACTTAATGAAGCATATATAATAAATACGTAATACATAACATTTTTTTTTATTTCCCAACAAGAGTTGAACAACTGAAAAAATGAGTGAAAGTGTACCGAAGTGCAAACTAAAGTTTAATTGACCATTTTAAAATTAAAAATGATCATCAAAAATTTATTCTCAGTTATAATATAACTGACACTGAAATTGATATTGATAATAATATGATTTTTTGTAATTATTAAAATTTTAGGTGATTGTTTTTTAATTTGAAAATGGTTAGTTAAACTTTTATTTTACACTTTTGAGCCACACTTTCACTTTTTCTTTTAGTTGCCCAACCCTTGCTAGGAAATAAGAGATGTTATACAATCTTTGCACAAACAGTTTAGGTCTTTAACATATGAGTATAATGCTTTTTATCAAACTTTGTAAAAGTTACAAAAAAGAATATTTGTTGCTGAAAACTCCCATATAGTAAACGTTAGTAAAAATGAAAAAATAATATTAAAACATGAACCATAGAAGGATGTCAATTAGATTCAATAGATTCAGTGATACTTTAGACTCTGTATAAGTGGGAAATGAGAAAACAACTAGCTAGTGGTTTTTGATTTGTCAGAAAATTTATTTTTCTGACATACTGTAGAACGGGGTAAATAGGCACATTTGTGAAGGTTTTTTTAGTACCACTGACTGAGTTAATTATTAATTAAATTTTTTATTAATTAAATTTTTGTTTTTTTTATATTTGCATATGTGCAAGGCCGGCGCGATAGGGTCGCATTTTTGAAAACAAGGACTTTTTTTTTTTTTTTTAATTTTTTAAATAATGCCACCCCCCATCCCCCACGCGCATTTGTGTATACAAATTGCATATGTTTATACATATGGCATATTTCATTGCGATAAGTATGGCCATATACTGCTTTTATGAAATTATGCATTTTTTGATAAATAAAAATAAATGAATGTCCTTATTTTTTGCTTTTTATTGACCCCAGACAGGGCCGGCGCGAGTAGGTGTCACGTGAGGGAGGGAGTCGTCATTTCAACTTTTGCCGACTAAAAAAAAAGGACAAAATTTGCTGACTGTCGAGTCGACATTTGCCGACTGATAGTTTAGTTTACCGACTAACTTGTCTATAGGGTCTACATTTGCCGACTGACTAGTCTAAAAGGGTCAAATTTGCCGACTAAATGAACGAAAGAATCATTGATTGAGGAGAAGGGGGGGGGAGGCACACCCCCACACACACCCTTCGCACCGGCCTTGACCTCACATTTGAGGTGCATGGAGATACCAACTGTTTTAGATATTTGTCTCTATTCCACCTGATAGGAGTTTAATGAAGGTTTTAAAAAAAATGTGAGTTTACCTAAAGTAGAGTTGTTAACAAGGCCAAAAGTATCAAGACCAAGGCCAAGGCCACGCGTTACAAGGCAAGGTCAAGATCAAGGCCAAAAGTTACAAGGCCAAGGACAAAACTTTAAGGTTAAGGCCAAGATTAAGAGTTTCAAGGCCAAGGCCTACGCAAACATTTTCAAAACCGAAGACTTCAACTTTTACCTTACGTTAAGGCCAATTAATAACGCAACTGTAAGTAGCAAGTACTGTGACAATAAAATCACATTTTTTAAAAATATACCGAGGTTATGAGCAGAA